CCAGCCTGGGCGAGGAGGATTCCTAGGGGAGGGATTGGGGCCCAGGGGAACAGAGAGCCAGGCACTTTAATTGGAGGTAATTAGTTAATTCACTCTGAAARCAATGAAGGAGGAGAAAGGAGGGGAGGGGGGCTCTGGCCTAACAGGGTTCAACTGCTCACACTGTGGTGTCTTTCTAGCCCGGAGCTGACCCGAGCGCCCACACGCCCTTAGGAGACCCTCGATTCCATCCCAGCTCAGTCCAGCAAGGCCAAGAGCAGAACCAGCAAGTGTAGGAAACAGCGTGTGCAGTGGGGTGGTTGCGAACCAGGCTTTTGAAGTTAAGTTCACACCTGGGAACTGGCTGGAGAAGGGGATTGTGGAGATGCCGAGGGTCCTGGGGTGGGAACTGGTACCTATCCTGCCACTCTACCTCCATCCCTCTCAAGGTCATTCTATCTACCCCAAGGTAGGGGCCCATCCTCCTCCTTTGGTCTGGAAGTCCCGGGGCTGCCCATCCTAAACCTAACAGGGCCTGCAGCTAACTCCACTCGATTTACTGCAGGAAACCACTCCAGCAACGGGGAAAGGGGTGCCGGAGGACAGAGCCCCTGCCGGGCCCCAGGGGGCGTGTCGGCGGCCCCAACGCATCGCCGGCAGGCAGCGTGGCGGGGACTCTGCCCGACAGCCTCCTGCGCCGTCCGGAGCAGCTGACTCGCTGGCGGTGAGCCAGGTCGCCACGGCCGGGAGGCAGCAACGTGCGGCGCGGCATGTCGCGGGTGCAGAGGCAGGGAAACGTGGGGGCGGGCCGGCGCGCCTCCTCCCCCTCCCCACGCTGGCCCATTCATAAAACCCGCAGGCACTGCCCGGGCCTGGCAGCCTTGGCTTCCTAATTGCAAGCTCATTAAGGAGTTTGCATCTCATTTGCATGGAAATCATTTCCTGGCCCTCAACAGAGAAACACCCCCACCCCATCCAGCAGCCCCCTGTGCCCTGCTCTACCCAGCCACAGTCCCGGAGAGGAAGGGGCCTGTCCCTCTGGTCGGCGCCCTCTACCCTGCCGCCTCCCTATTCCTCCTGTCCCCCTTGGGAGTGGGGGAGGGGGATTGGCAGAGCACCCACCCAGCAAGGAGCCCTGCCTGTGCCCCAGGTGAGCTGGCTCTGCCCCAGTGGGTCCAAGTGAGGGAGATGCCGGCCAAGTCATTTGCCCCCCGGCCTGGCCATGCCCAGGGAAGGGAGGAGGTGGTGGGCAGTCCTCTGGAGCAGCTGGGAGTACCTGGCAGGAGTAGGGCTGGTGGGTGAGGCTGTTCGTGCCCAGCCTCACGTACCTTCCCTGCTACAGGCCGTGCCCCCACCCCCACACCCCTCGCCCCACAGAACAAGCACTCAGTGAGTACCAAACAGACACCCAGTCACCGGCGCACAAAGACACCCACACTGGGCCAGCCATCATGGCGGCCTCCCTGGCAGCCACCCCCGGCGGGCAGACAGATGCCTTCACGACCATTTTGTTCTCCAGCATGGTGCCAGGGTTGGGGGAAGGGGCTTGTCCTGAGACTTCTCTGAGTAAAAGGCCCACAGGGGGGTTCCCTTATGAACCCCAGATGTGGCCTTTTGCCCCTCTTCTCCTGCAACCCATACTTATGGGGGCCCCCAAGTGCTACTTCCTGCATGAGGACCCGGCTTCTGTTCTTCCTGTCCCAAGTATATGTGGTGAAGGAATTGCTCCCCACTCATCTGAAGTGGGGGGATATTTTAATACAAAATCTGTTGGAAATGGAATAGAACTGCCCAAAGTAGATGAAATCAGATACTGCCTGGAACAGTGTCCTGGATCTGTATATCCTAGCAGAGTGAAAATGATCACGAAATTTTCAGCATTAGAGTCCAAAATAAAATCTAGCCTCTTGTTCAGGTCATTAAGGTCCCTCCCCAGTCCTGCTCATGCTTCCTGTCTGCCCACACTCCTACCTGCTGAATCTGAAGTTTCTTCCTTCTATGGCTAGGGCCAAAAAGGGTGGGCAGGAATGTTCAGTTGGCATTTGAGCACTGTGTGTGTGCATGATACAGGGATGCTTAAAGAAAATACTAGAACACTTATTCATTTTTCATTTCATCCTTTTTCTAATTAATGTGACCATATTGTAAAAGATCAACAATACAAAATATATTCATATTACAGGGGTGTGCTCAACAATCGTTTTCTTGCTAGGGTTCCATGATCAAAAATAGCTTGAAGGTCACTGGTCTAGACTTCAGGCAGAGTGACTGTGGGCAGGGGCTGGTTTGTCTTGTCCGTCTGAGTATCTGGCCTGAAACACGGTTAGCTCAGAGCCTTGAAGGGAGGCGGGAGCAGGGACAGAGTGGTAAAGGAACAAAGTCCACTCCTAGAAGTGACAGATGAAGAAACTGAAATGACTCTGGGTGGGGAAATTGCTCAGAGGAGGACATGGACAGATAGTCTCCCATTGGTGCTAGATCTGCTGGGCCCAGCACCCAGCATCACCCAAACCCAGCTCCCACCCACATCAGCAAGCACCACTCCCTCTCCTGCCTGCTAGACTCTGCTGGCACCAAAGGAGCAGAGCCAGGTAGGGTTGCCACCCACCACATCTCCCAACTTGGCAGGAAGCCTGTTGAGTGCTTAGTATTGTGGAATTCTCCAGAAGCCCATCAAATATGGAGAAAGCATTTAGGCTCCAGACAGGCCCCAATTCCCCTCCAGGTGAATGACGTGGGCACAACACATAACTGCTATGGGCTTTGGTTTCTTCGCCTGTAACACGGGACTGACAAGCACACTTACCACGTGGTGTATTGTGGATACTGACCAGCCTGCTGGTGTACACGTCTAGCACATAATGCATGCACCAGAGTCTTCCTGGTCTGTGCGACAGGTGCCCACTAAAGAACCTGTTGGGGGCTGGGATTGTGGCTCAGCTGTAGAGTGCTCGCCTAGCAMGGGTGGGACCCGGGTTCGATCCTCAACACCACATAAAAATAAAGGCATTGTGTTGTGTCCATCTACACCTAAAAAATAAATATTAAAAAAAAAATGGTTAGTCTTTGTTAAAAAAAAAAAAAAAAAGAACCTGTTGATTGTGACTTGGCATCATCCTGCGAAGGAAAATTCTGCAGGCAGACAAATGAGCCCTTGCAGACACCTCCCTGCAGAAATTTTGCAGCCACCCAGAAGCCTGGGCTTTCTCTAAACTCGCCCACTCTCTGGTGGCTTGGCCTCCTCTTTTCCACCCTGTTCCTTTCTCCCAGGCAGGACAGCTTCACTTCAAGCACGAGCTGAGGGTGACATCTAGTGGCCATTTTTGCAGCCGCATGACCCTGACTGGTGACACCCTCTCCTGGAGGGACCTGAGGTCAGGTGTGGGAGCCCTTGGTTCCAACACCTTTCCTGCCCCTTCCATCTCATGGTCGGGCCCCGGCAGTCTCTGAGGCCGCCACTCCCCACTCCGCCCTTCAGGTCTCCAGCTGTCAGGGCTGCACCTGGTGGGAGGGATGACCAAGGAAGACTGCCCACTCTGCAGCCCCAGCCCTGGCCCCACTCAGAAAGCAGAAGACGGCTACCCTTCTGTCAGGTGCTACTGGACACCTTACAGGCATCACCTCGCTCAATTCTTATCAYGAGAGCCCATCATTATTGCAAAGAAGCCAAGACACAGCAAGGAGACTGCAAGACTCACAGCTCCTTGGTGCCCAAGTGCTGAAGCACTCCTGGTGATGCTCAAGGCCAAGAAGAAGGGGCCTGACTCGGGGCTGGGAGCTTCAAGTTCCAAGCCAGCTTTGCCCCCAACTAGTGGGGTGGCCTCTGTGGAAGGCCTCCTGCCCACTGGGCCTGTTTCTTTGACTGTCCTATGACAACTTAGAAGAGTAGTGATTCTCAAACTGGCTGTGCATGGATCCCTTCGGGGACGYGGGGTGTTAATATACAGGCTTGCTGAGCCTTGCCTGAGAAAATCAAAATCAGAGTGGAGCCAAAGCATGGGTTCTTTTCAAAATCTTTCTGGGTGCTTCTATATGAGAACACAGCCTTTCCAAGTTTCCATTTTTCAGACTCCCCTTCCTTCCCGAGGTCAGCTCCCCAGGCTTCTCCCAGTCCCCAGGGCTTTCCAGAGAAACTGTCTCCACTCCTCCCAGACCCCCAGAATAAGTGACCTCCTCACCATCAGGGGCCCCCAGGAGGGCACTGGCCCATCGGCCCTTTCTAGAAAGGGCCCAGCAGGCTTGAGCCTCCTGAGGCTCTGACCCCCGGCCCGGCCTCCTGGCTGGGGGAGGGAAGGCCACAGGGAGCTTAACCCCAACAGGATGAAGGCGGCATAATTAGGGTCAGGCGGTTGGCTCAGCCTGCGGAAATCCCCAGCTTAGTAGGGATGGGGGGGCTGCAGCCTTGGAGAGGGGGTCAGRGCAGAAGTGAGGGGGCAGGGGAGGCCAGGCATGTGAAGACCCTAGGACCTAGGCCCCAGCTGCCCCCTGAGAGGGCCCAATAGGGACTCCACACAGTCCCCTTATTTTCTGGGGGTGCTGACCCTCATAGAGGGAGGGAAGGGGTATCCAGCCCCCACCCCTTGAGGTCCTGCTGCTCCTTCAGGATGGGGTGCACCAGGATCACCCCCTACCCCAGTCTTGGCGGGAGGCAGAGGGCCCTGGTGGGAAAGGACTACAAGAGCATTCCCAGGGTGACCCCGGCTGCCCCTGCTATAATCCCCAGGCCTTTAGTGAGGGATCACCTTCCCCTGTGGAATGTAACACCCAGGGGATGAAACAGGGGGGTGCAGATGTCAAGAAGGGGGCCTTGCTGGGGGTGGGTACTTCCCAGTCCCCCAAAAGGCCCTTCAGGAGGTGGCAACTGCAAAGAGAAAAGCCCCTTCCCCCATTATTCCCCAAGCCTGTCTTCTGAGCTCACTGCGGGGCACAAGGTCTCAGGCCAGGTTGACCAGGTACCCTCCAGCCAACGCCCACCCGAATCCTAACACAGGGCAGGGCCTGGACGGTGGCTTTTACTAACCTTTCATCTCACAGGGGAGGAAATGGATTTGACAGGCAAAAACTGGTGAAGATCGTGTAGTGTCAGAACCACACCTAGAAGGCCCAGCTGCCCGAGAGACTGCTTTAGTAATCTAGCAAGAACAGCAGCTTGTCACTCAGGAGTCCCTCACACCTGTGCTGGACTCTCTGCCCCACAGCAGGGCACTCAGCTCTTTTACCCTCCAGGGTCATGGGCTGGACACGGCAGGGCAGGAAGGGGATCATGCATACTGGTCACAGCTGGGACCAGGGCCCAGAATCAACACCAAAGGACTGGCAACATTTCCCTCCCACAAAGCCTGGCCTCCCAGAGGCTGACCTCTCTTCCTCAKCCTCACCCCTAGCCCATCAAATAGGCCCTGAATGAGCCTCAGTCCTGCTGGATGTGGGGTTTTCCAGGAACCCCTGTGGACAGGACCATGTGGAACACAGAGGTACCATGCCCAGCCCAGCACCCACCACAGGGATGCTCAGGAAGGAGGAGGGTCTCCTGGAAAGGTGGCAGAACTCAGCTCAAGTCACAGGACCCTAAAAGCACCTTCAGTAGGAAGCCACCTCAAACATCCGGTCCAGCCCACATGACCTCCCAGTTGGAGTTCAGCTGCCTTCTGCCTCAACACTGTGAAGYGGGAGCCTCTCGGCTGTCCATTCAGCCTCTCAGCTAGTGAGCCTGGTCCCATGCTCGGCCACGTTCTGGGGCTGAGGCAAAGTACCATGTTCAAGGAGGCAGGCTAAGTCCAAATAGAGGGTCCTCAGGCAGCCTCTCCTGGGCCCGGCATAGTGCTAAGTGAAAGTCAAAGATGCTCATCAGAAATGATCCCCCCACCATTATGTCACACTGACATCAAGTGTGGTTTGCACGCTCGGGCTCATTCCATACTCACGACCTCCAATCCCAACAGCACCAACGTCGCTGACAGATGGCAAGGTGAGGCTCAGAACATGATGGCCTTGCGGCTGGAAGAGCAGCAGAACCAGGACCCTGCCTGGCAGTCCAACTCCAGCCCAGGGTTCCCTTTACACACCCACTCCCAGCCCCCACCAATGTGGGTTTCATGTGGAAGACAGGATTAACCCAGGAGGAAGAAATTGTGATTCGGGCCCCAATTATAAAACTAATCAGTGACAACGGATCGGAGGCCTTCAGGGTCCCAGCACAGCCCTGAGTCTGATAAATGCACAGGAGTCACGGGTGGACCGTGGAACACCCCCTCCTCCTTGGGTCAGGCCCACAGTGTCCCGGGCTAGCTCGGTGGCATGGGCAGATGCACACACAGGCACGCACACACATTCAGGGTCATGAGTCTCTGCACGTTCCAGGGACAAGGTGGCTCAGCCCCTTCCCTCCCCTCTGATAACCCAGCGGCTTCCTGCARGACCGGCACGTTGGCCTTCAGTCTGGCCACGTCAGGCACGTGCCAGGCCAGTTGCCAGGGCCCCGGGCCCCAGGCCTGCCGGGCCCTAGAGGGTGACCTGCTACATGACTGACCCTGCTCAGCCTCAGGAAGAGGGTGATTCTCTGGGGTGTGAGGAGCCCCCATTCAAATCCCTTCTCAGAATCAGTGTTCACTGCAGGTAGGGGCTTACTGGGGAAGCTCAGGGTTCCTGGGGCTTCGTGTGGGCACTCAGCCCTGATGGCATCTCTGGGCACACTCCAGGGAGGTCCAGGGAAACAAGATGCTCCGGTGGGGACTGACGTGGCTCTAGGAGGAAAGGTGGTGTGGCTACAGCAGGGCACCCAGCCCTCTTGCCCTCCAGGGTCATGGGCTGGACATGGCAGGGTAGGAAGGGGATCATGCATACTGACAAAGGGTTGAAAGTAAAAGTGAACCTGGGAAGGTGGAGGTGCCCATGTGGGCTGTTTGGAATCGAGAAGTAGGGAGAGGGTTTGGCCAAAGAGTGCTAACAGGGCAGTTGGAATTTAAGGAAAGGGAGACTCATGTGGCACAGGGAAGGAGATTAGGAAACAGCCAGGGTTAGATACCAGTCTTGCCATTTATATAAGCTGGGTGATTTGAGCAAGTGGCTAGCCCTCTCTGAGCCCCTTGATGTCATCTGCAAAATGGAGCTAATAATAGTATCTGGCTTGCAGACTTTGAGAACTGGATGACACTCTTGGGGTAAAGCATGGGGCAGCCGTTGTCCTTGTCACCCTGTCCTTGAACTGTGTGATGGACTGAGAAGAGGGAAGGAGTCACGGCTGGGAGCTGGCATCTTCCTGGGGATTCTGGAAGGTCCTGGGAGAATGTCTGCTTTGTTCAGATGAAAGGGTCCAGGTCAGAGGGGAGAAGGAACTTGCCCAAGGCCACTGAGAGTAAGGACAGAGGCAGGTCCACTGAGTCTCCCACCAGCTTCTTTGCCTGTGAGGTGCCCTGACCCTGCTCAGAAAGAGAAGCCAGGGACAAAGACCCCTTCACCTCTGAGAGCCAAGGCCGGGCAACCTGCCTTCTGGACCTGGGAATGGGACGCTCCTCTCCYGTTCCCACACAGGGCCTTGCTGAGGCCCAGGGGACACTTGTACAACCTCCAAAGCTCAGGGGCACGGAAGGTACCTCTTCCAGGACACCCTGACCAGCAATGGCAGTCTTGCCAGATGGCCGAGCCATCACCCTGGTCTGTGGACATGTTGCTTTCCCACAATGACCTTCAAGGTTCTGGGGAGAGACAGAGTCTTCATCAAATTTCAGGCCACAAACCTGACACCACAATCCAGCCTAACCTTTGTAGGTGTGGATTAAGGGAGACCTGACCGTGCTGGCCAAGGACCCTGAGCATCGGCACAGGGCCCCCGGGGCATTGCCACCCTGCCCCGGCCTGTCCTCCCTCCCCCACGCCTGGGCCCCATGCTAAGAGCAAGTTCCTGGTGCAGGCTGTACCTTGTCACTGGTGCCTGGCATTTACCAAAAGGGCAGAGGCACCGAGAAGGGCCTCCCTGTGCCATCCGCTCTTGAAGGAGCCCTCAGAGGGGGAAGAGTCAGGTTTCAAAGTGCCCGAAGATGACAGAGTGATGGCGAAAGCTTGGCATGTCAAAATCCACCAGGGGTCACATCTAGGCTGGATGACAAAAAACATTCACAGAGCAACAAGAGGACAGCAGCCCTGCCYCACAGTGGGCATGAGAGATAGAAGGCAAAACCTCAAAAACACAAGAAAAAATGCCAAAGAACACCAGAGACCTCCCCACCCCAGGCAGATGGGCAAAGACTCACACGCCGGGTTAAGGCCAGTATCCGTGGGGACACGGGGACCCAGGAGCCGTCTGCCCTGTGGGAGGCGGGGTAGGCCGGGCAGCCACAACAGCCTGGGGTGGGTCATGCTCCCTCAGGTTAAGAATACAAGTGCCCCATGACCCAGTGACTCCACTCACGACTCCACCCCGGGATCGTCAGGGCACCTTGACATGGCGGAGGGGGGGCAAGAAAATATGTGGGTGCCCCCCATGGGGTAGGACCCAGCGGTCTGAAGCAATAGGGCTGGATTTTATAAACAGTGCTGAGAGGRGGGGGACCCATAACACATGACAGTCACCAAAGTGAAAAATATAATAACATGTTTACAAAACAGCCGTCCCCACTTGCAGGAACCACAAAAACAGGAAGGATCAAATATTAGGAGGGACAAAGAAGGGTGTGGGGGAGAGAGGAAGAGGAGAATCACTCCAAAAAACACAAAGAAGGCCAGAGGCCTGTGACCCTGGGAAGATTAGCACTCCCCTGGAGGGTGGACCCCAGCCTCCAGGGCCCCCAGCAAGGCTCAGTGCCGCCAGGATCCCCATCTGTGAGGCTCTGAGATGGACCCACCTCAGGGGACCCTTCTCCCACCGCCCTCCACAGCCCAGGCGTGGCTGACGTCCACGGGGGGGGGGGCCCCCGGAGCTGAACACAGCTCAGGCTCCCCTTGTGGCTGGAATGGAAGAGCAAGGGACCTCCAAACCAGGGCCTCAGGAAATGGGACCAAGCTCTTGCCCTTATAAAACTCCCTAGAATTAAGGGGGCTTGCTGTTTTTTGGTTTGTTTGTTTGTTCTTTTGGTTTGGGGTTTGGTTGTTTTTTTTTTTTTTCTTTACAGAGAGTTCTTTAGACACGATTCTGAAACATCTGTGAAGGGGTATTGTGTCTTTGGCACGCTTCAAAATAATCTGGGGGTGAGGCCTAAAGTGGGGTATGAAATCAGAATGATCATAGAATTAATAGCTGCCGAGTCTGGGAATGGGGGTACAGGTCACCACACTTGATTCTCTACTTATGTGTATATTTAAGTGTTTCCATAATAAAATTTTTCAAAAGAAAATGATCCCCGGGACTGGGGATGTGGCTCAAGCCGTAACAGGGTCGCCTGGCATGCACGGGGCACTGGGTTTGATCCTCAGCACCACCTAAAAAAATAAAGAYGTTGTGTCCACCAAAAACTGAAAAATAAAATATTAAAAAAAAAATGATCCCCAGTAAGAAAATCCCCCTTGAGAGGAGAGGAACCTCTAACCTCAGGAAGCCCCCAGTCTAAAGGGGGAGACATGGGCTGGGGATGTGGCTCAAGCGGTAGCGCGCTCGCCTGGCATGCGTGCGGCCCGGGTTCGATCCTCAGCACCACATA